AGGAATGGCTCCTGGCAAACCCTGCTCACAAATTCTGGCAGCAATTAGCAGTGGTGGGGCTGTGACAGGGGCAGCTGCTGGCCAGGGCTCACCGTAACCTCTCTGTGCACCAGCTTTGCTCTTCAGCTGGGACTAACTAATCCACAGCAACTGTCCTGCTGGAAAATCCTCTGTGATCAAAGCATGGTTTATTTTAAAATAACTGGGTGACATTCAAGAGCTCTGCTCAGCCTGTGCTTTATCTTTGTGCCACCTTTCTTCACCCTGTCCCCAGGAATTCCCTTGTCCCAGTGGGAAGAAGCCTCACAGTTCTGTCTGTTGCCAATAATGGGTGAAGAACCTTTGCAGGTTTCACATTTCTCTTAACAAAGCAAGGGGCTTTTTCCCTTCCTCAGCTGGTTGCCTGTGGGCAGTGCCATGGGCATGAGGGACTGTTCCCATCACATACAAGTTGTCATTGCAGGACAGGTGCCTCCCTGGCTGTGGGGATGTTGGGTTCACCAGCTGAACAACCATGCACGAACTGTTGTGCATTTTTAAGGGTTTGCTGCCACCCTTTCCCCTCGCTTGCTTTGGCTACTCATCAGTGTTTTTTTCCCCCGAGATCTCGTATATGTTTTTTTCCCACAACACACACAAGTGGGATTGACAGTGAGCTATTCTGAGTGTTCCCAGGAATTTGCAGCAGGCAAAAATCATGCTGAAGGCTCCAGTGGAGCCAGCCCAGCCATCCAAGAGCCAGCCATGCAGGCACTGTCTCTGCAAGCTCACTGGGACTCTCTGCTCCAGCTGTTTGTAGGCCTTGAGGGATTTGTTTCCCTCCCCAGTTGTTTTTAGCCTCACATGCAGTGCCTGGAAGTGCCTGAGTGGGCTCCACCCCTGCCAGAGCCCAAGTATGAGAAGCCTTGTGTATGTGGCAATCATCAGAGAAGTTTCTTGTTGATCTTTCAGTGTGTAAATCTATTAGAGTTGGAGTGTGGAGGTCTTCAGTTCCTCTTAATCCCTGTGCCCCTGAATCTTGCCACAAGGGCTGCCTGGTGGGACACTGAAAATCTGTCCATGAAATAATAAACTATGGGGGAATGCTTCTGGTGTTGGCTGCTGCAGAGTGAGGTTGTGTCTGAGTGTGGAGTGCTAATTTAAAGATTGGGTTAGGCTGATATGAAGCAATGTTGTCTCTATTTCCTTGTAGTGGGATAAACTGTGAACAGATTAGTACTTGGCTGTTGCAGTGCACCACCTGATGATGCATCTGTTTCTGTATTAGATTTCCTTCTCCTTCTTTAAGTTCCAAGTCCAGTGCTTCGGATGTGTTCAGTAGAGAGCCCTGTTGAGTCCTCAGACACTTTTGTTCCTTAAATTTAAGATTATTAACTATGTGTCGAGAGTTTATTTCAACTTAAGGCAAGTCCAGATTTGCAATCTCTCTGACCAGTTTCCCAAAGTAGTAAGTAGACTGAGGCACAAGCCCAATTAAGTAATAAAGTGATTTTTCCTTTCCAAATATTGGACAGGTTTTTGAATTACCAAGCAGGTCTTGCAGAATAAGCAGACAGGGCTGGACAGTGTAGAGGGTTTAGGGCTGGCCAAATGCCAGTGCACCCACTATGAATTATTTACTCATTAGCTGCTGTGAGATACAGATCAGGAGGAGGAGGGCAAAACAGGCTCAAAACTTTAAAGGGTACAAAAAGAAAACTATTAACAGAATTAAAAGAAAAATTGTAAGAAAATCAGAATAAACTTTCGGAACACTTCTCCTCCCTCCACACCCTCTTTTCTTTTCCACTGGCAATGTAAAGAGACAAAACCTGGGACTTTCAGTCAGTTTACCACCTCTGGAATAGTCTTTTTTCAGTCCACTGAGGGAGAGGACTCTCTCTCGCCATGCCATGGAGACTTCTCCACAAGAAACAGTTCTCTCATGGCTTTAGTGTGTCAGTGAATCAGCCACCCAGGAAAGGAAAATCTGTTCACAGTGTGAGTCCCTCCTATGCCTTGCAGCTTTCCCACAGCTGCTTTCATGGGCCATGCCAACTTATTGGGGTGCTAATTTAAGGATGAGCTGTTCTAGCATAAAACAAAAGATTTTGGGAAGGGCAGTGAAATTGTGATTATGGGAAGATCTGTAGCTGAGCATGTGATCTTAGAACTGGAATAGGTGAAATATTGTGTTAGCAGCTCTGTATGTTGTAGCCTTTGGGTGGAGGCAGCTTTGTGCACTGTGCTTTGGACACAAAATACTGAGGTGTGGGTCTGTTTCTTAGCCAGCCCCTGTGAAAAAGAAGCGTCCTCCAGTGAAGGAAGAAGACCTCAAAGGAGCCAGAGGAAACCTTACCAAAAACCAGGAAATTAAATCCAAAACCTACCAAGTGATGAGGCAGTGTGGTAAGTCTCCTTGACTGGAAGCAATTAAGCAGAGTAAGACATTGACTTAATTGCCCTTTTCAAGTGAAAGGGTCACGTCTGGAACAGCAGCCTGCTGTTCATCTGATGGACAAGTGAAGTATTTATCAAAGGTGTATATATGTATTTCAGCAGCACTAGTTTTACTCCCCAAATTTGGGTGATATCTCACTGATTGTCTCTCGTGGTTTTCTTCTCCAAGAACAAATGGGCTCTGCAGCACCTTCTATATTCAGCCGGGCTCGGACGGGTGGTGAAACAGTCTTTGAGAAACCGAAGGACGAGCCAGCCAAGAGCGTCTTTGGCTGACACTGGAGCTGGATGTGTCTCACCCAAATGATTGCTGTAACATTTTTCAACATTTCTGTTCCTTACACTAAAGTCACTGTAGGCTCAAGTAGCTAATTTCCACTGTAAGTCCTTAAGTAGGGAATACACTCATGTCAAAGAGTAAAACCTCCATGTTCATTGTTATTACACGCTTTCTTTCTGTGTATTGGACAATGTTTGCTATAATTGTTTAATAAAAAAAGGTTGTTGGACTCAACTTGGCACATTGTGGTGACTCATTTCAGCTTGGGCTCAGATTAATTCCGTGGGCACTTTGGCACTACAGATGATGATGTTGGTGCTGATTTAACAAAGCACAGAAACCTCTGTGTCCCCCACAGATTCTATAGGGAAGCCATGTAAGGTATCTGCCAGAAAAGTGGGATTTGGCCAACAGCTCTATTTCCAGGATGTTGTCGAGTTCAATTGCTTGTGCTGCTTCCAAGTGTGACAGTAAGGACTGGGCATCTTTTTTGGTCGTCCTGTCTTTTAATGTGGACCTCATCTAAAAAATGTGAGGGGCAGAGCTGGCACTGCAGCCTAAATCTGTGCAGCAAAAGCAGCTCTTTAACATCCGTGTGATTTTACACATGGGCATTAGAAAACTCATGACAGATCCACTTAATTAAAGCTTTGGCTCCTGCAGTTCTTACACCACTAAGAGTCTAATCCTGTGTATTTTAAGGGATTAAAGCATTACATGAGTTGTACAAGTTAATAGAATGTATAGTAGTTTAATTTTTTTAAATTTTTTGTCTTTTAATACATATATATATATGTGTCCTGCTATAAAGGATATGGTATTTGCAAGTAGTATAAACACTCTGCCTGAGAGGATGTCTTGGGTTTCAATGTAGGATGTAACCAAAAGCATATATATTCTAGCACCAGCTGTTAAAACCACGTAGGGCAGTGTTTTTTATCTTTTCCATGACCCCTCCTCCATCCAGGGAGGTATCTCCTGTCAATGGGCCATTGAGTGCCACTGCAGGACTGATAAAATCACATCATCCCATTGAGAGAGGCTGCACCCAGGGGGAGGAGCCAGGCATTTCCTACCTGAATATAATCTGAGATTTGGAACATCAGAGCAGCCCTTACCCACTGGATTCCAGAGGAAGACCAGGCCCATGCACATCACCACTGGACCTTCAGAGGAAAACTGCACCTTCTACAGGATCACTGCTTCAACAGAACCACATCTGTCACTGCAGGAGGATGCAGCCACCATTTAATGGGACTGCTACCAACACCCTGAGTGACTGACAGGGTGTCAGGTTGTATTCTGACTCTGTCAGTGTTTTTGTACTACTGCATTTTATTTTAATTTTCCTATTAAGTTGTAGTTTGGTTTATTGGTTGGGTTTTTTTATATTTACACATAGTAGTAAAGAACTGTTATTCCTATTCCCATATCTTTGCCTGAGAGCTCCTTAATTTCAAATGATAATAATTTGAAGGGAAGGAGTTTACATCTGCCATTTCAAGGGAGACTCCTGCCTTCCTTAGTAGACATTTATCTCTCAAAAAGAGACAGAGGAATAAAGTTTATTTTTTAAAAGAGTTACTTAAAGCACAAGCCTTGTAAGACCAGGCTGTGCTTAGCACATTCTTTGTAATGAACTTGTAGACATCTGGTAAGTAATAAATTATTGAGCTCTGCTTTTGTGTCTCCTTGCAACTCTGAGGCCACTAGAAGCTTGCTCTCCACATGGACACTTTGTAAAACAGGCATGGAGAAAACACAGCTGCTTATATTTCCACAGGATCTTTGTGTTAATTTATGACCATGAATGGCTTTACCTACTGAGGATCATGGCCTGTTGGGCAGGGAGGCACCAAGGCTGAGAAAGCCATCAGCTGTAATATCTCATGTGAATGTTGCCTGTCCTGGCAATCTCCAAATCTCTGAAGTGCTTGTGATAATGTTAAGGATATGCCCTTTCAAATTATTTCTGTGGGATATGGTAGAGATTCCTGAAGCTTGTGGCACAGACCAAGTCATCTGCCCAAGGGATTTGATATGACACAGTGAAATCTAATTTAAAAAAAAATATAGAGATTTCTTAATTTTATATATTATGAAACATTAAAAATCTAATGTTTAAGAGCAAAGATCTGTTGGAAAAATAAGCATTAACCAATTCGAGTTTTACCTATGTTTAATGGGTAAATATTAAATTTCCGTGTCTCTTCAAAGTCTACATGATATCCCCAAGTAGAAGTTACTCATTAACGGATTAAGATAAACAGAGATTTCATTTGAAAATTTGTTTTTTCCAAAATGGAGCAGAGAACATTGCTTGCATTGATGGTCTTTTCCTCGCTCATAGTATTAGCAGAAACTATTGATCAGAAGGTATTTGCTCTATTTTTATTATCAATATCTCATTTGCTCATTTGGTGATGTGGTGATATCTCAGTAACTGGCCAGGAAGTGCAGGTAACTCCTCTGGTAACTACTGCCTGGGGAACTTTGGATTGTGTTGAGATTTTAGAGTTTTGGGTCTTTTTAAGGTCTTTTTGGTTGTTTGGGCTGTTATAGTACAAACATAGCAAGAAGCATTTGCAGATGTGCTTGGTCTTGCTCTTCCTTCAGGATGTAAGAGATCAAATTTGGGAGATCAGTAGCTCTGCCTTGGCAGATGAGGTTTGGATCTTGACACAGGACCAAGCAAGCACTATGCAGTGCCAGGAGGTTTCTGATGAGTGTTTAATAATAAATATGGAATGGAAAAAAGGAAAGTAGAAAGTTATTTGCACTGTCTGGAGGATAAAACTCTGTTTTGTACCATCACAGTGGTGACTGGTGGCATTGTAAAAACATCAGTATCAGAGAGGAAGAGGAAGCTCTGAGTCAGATGGTTTCTCTGTCCATTGTGCCTCTTCAGAAAAGTGTGAAGTGGAACTGAAATGCAGGCAGGTGTTGGGGTCAGGGCCAAGCCTTGTGGCTGCTTCAGGAGCAGCCAAGAGCTCTGCAGGAAGCCATGGACGGGGTGTGAGGGCCCACAGTGCCTTTGCCCTTGGGTACATGCCTAGGTCTGGTCCTCTCTGCTTCCTTCACCAGGGGCACAGCAAAGCTTCTCCCTGTGCTGCATCCCCCTGCCCCCTGGCTTGTGCTGGCCACAGCCTAAAATGCTGCTGGGGCTGAGTGGGTGCAGGAGATGCAGAGATGCAGATCCTCCTCCCTGCAGCATCCCTTGGGCACTTGGCAGCAGAGTGGATTCTGCACCAGGTAAATTTTGCACAGGACAAGCTCCTCCTGTGTTGGAAGGTTCCTCAGTGGGCAGCAGTGGCCACCACGTGCCTACACTGCCTCAGTGAGCCACAGCTTGGGGCTTGGTGTTCCTTATGCAAAAACCTTGCTCTGAATGTGCTATGGGCAGGTTTGAGTATGGCTGGGCAACAAACTTTCAATTTCAGCCAGTGTCCTAACAGAGAAGAGGCCACTGGATGCTATTAATTGGCAAGCAAAGTACAGGAGATTAATTATCAAAATAGCTAAAGATCAATTAGCCATTCAAAAGACTTGGAGGCTGGAAAAGTAAAAACAGAAGTGCAGTGATACAATCTGTTGCTGAGCTTTTGTATTTTAATCAGCTCTTGGACTGTTGTGAGGAAGGTGATGCCCAGATCAGCCTTTCTCTAGTGCCACTGCTGAAACGTGTGTAGGACCTTTAGAGAGACATCCCAAATGGAAAAGGAGGTGTCCATGTAGACACGTGCTCCAGGAAATTCTTAGCCCAGCCACCCTCTGGGGTGTTCCAGGCAGCTCCAGAATGGAGCCCTCCTCCTTTGGGCATCAGGGGCCCTGGAAGAACCAGAGCAGGAGAAACATGAGTGCTCAAAGGGCATCTCTGCTTGTGCAACCAGTGAGAGGCCCAGGCAGGGTTTGAAACTGCTAAACATCCTGTGGGACACAAGGTACCAAGTTGGAAAACAGGGAGCAAAGTCAACAACTGGGAGAGCAAATAAACAGTCACACAAAAAATGGGGCCCTTCCCTGGTTCAGGATTAAAGAGGCTTCTGATCTTCCTTTGGAAAATCTTGGGTGATGGCTGGGGTGATTCAGCAGCAGCTTCACTGTAAGCCAAGGAGAGAAAAAGGTCCAACAGAAGCTTCTGTGGAACAGCAAAATACAGATGTGGCTGCAGGTTTTGCATGGGTCAGTGTTTGTGGTTGCAGAGATGGGAATAAGCAGACTGGTTCAGAACAATCCCCTCCCCAGTTCCAGCCAGGCTTTCTAACAGTTCATTCCTTCATCAAACTTTTCCAACAGCACCATCCAGGTAAGGACTGCTTGGGAGCAAAACCTGGGTGTTTCTGTCTCAGTCTGTTTATTTTTTTCCCAGCCTGCTATTGATATCTACAGCCTCCATGTGGACTGCAAAGTCACATCAAGATTTGCTCACACTGTCATCACCAGCAGAATTGTCAACCGAGCCAATGAGTCCCGAGAGGCCACCTTTGAAGTGGAGCTACCTAAGACAGCCTTCATCACCAACTTCTCCATGTAGGAGCAGTCCTCACCTGAGATATGAAGGAGGCAGCTCTGAGGGGCTTCATCTTTCTGCTCAGGAGCTGCTGGGCAAAGAGCACAAAGAGGGTCCTCCGCAAAAAATGCTCTGTGGGGCTAAGTAGTAGGCAGCCAGATAGAAAAGAGGTGCCCAGGGCCAGGCTGCTTGCTGCACAGGGTGGGTGACAGACGTGCTCAGTGGTGGTGTTTTTCCTGCTGCACCCTCCTCAAGAGCCTGCAAGGACAAGGGTTGTGTTGTGGTGGTGGTCCCTTGCATCTTGCTGGGTGGGGAGGGATTTGAAAGGAAACAGTGTCCCTTGCTCATGCCCAGAGAGCCACAAAAATCTTCTGTTGAATTCCTTTCCCCAGTGCATTCCTTCTAATACTAATTAATTTTTATGGAAACCAAACAGGTCCATCGATGGTAAAATATACCCAGGAATAATAAAGGAGAAAGCTGCTGCTCAGAATGAGTACAACACAGCAGTGTCACAAGGACAGAGCGCTGGCCTCGTCAAGTACGTTGCTATTCTGAGTAAGGCTGCTCCAACACCCCTCCTTGGCTTCCTGTTTGGCTGGCTGGAGGCACATGAAATCCTGGAGACAGCCACATCTCAGTGGGGACAAATGTGAAAATCAGTCTTGGGTTCTTGCTGGGAGGGACAGTGTGTCTTTGAATATATATGTATATTTTTTAAAAATAGTATTTATATATATATATATATATATATATATATATTCATATATATATGATTTATAGGTGGTCCTGCAATAGGCTCTAGTAGGATGCTTCCCTGTTTAGCAGTGCCTTAGGACTTGCTGTCATACAATCACTGTATCACAGATTACAGAAAGGATCTACAGGGACCATCAAGTCCAGCTCTCAAGTGAATGGTCCAGAGAGGGACTGAACCAACAACCATGGTGTTACTATGCTCTGACCAGTTGAGCTAATCTCAGAGCCAAGGGTCCTTAAAGATCATCCAGTTCCAAGCCCCCTGCATGGGCAGGGACACCTTTCAGGCTGCTCAGAGCTCCATCCAGCCTGGCTTTCCATCATTTGAGAGTGCCTTGCCATGCTGGGATGATGCTCAGTGCTGAGTCCGTGTCCTGGCAAGCACAAAGGACCATGGCTTTGAACAGATATCACAGTTTCAGGGTGCCTTTAATCTGTGCTTCACAGGTATTCAATCTGAGGAATGCAGGGGTTTCTGCTCCATTTCTCAGCTTGCACCCACGACACATTAATATAATATATGTGGGGTACATAATAGCACCTGCAATGTAAAAAATCTTCTCTGTGATGAACAATGTTTACTGCTACCTTTTTTTTTAATCCCATGTGGCCCCTTGGCCTTTATTTTACACACTTCACAAACTCTTGGGCACCAACCTTCCCTGCAGGAGATAAACCCCTGTTCTTCCCCAACCCAGAATTACAGACAGAAAGCTGGAGCAGTTCCACGTGTCTGTCAGCATCGCGGCTGCCAGCAAAGTCACTTTCGAGCTGACCTACGAGGAGCTGCTGAAGCGGCAGCTGGGCAAGTACGAGCTGCTCATCAAGGTGCGACCCAAGCAGCTCGTTAAACACTTCCAGGTGAGCTGAGCAGGGAGCAGCCGTGGCTTTAGCACAGCCGTGCTCCCTCTGACACACTGATGCTGAATTCTGTGCTGCCAGATCGACGTGCACATCTTCGAGCCCCAGGGCATTCACTTCTTGGAGACTGACAGCACATTCATGACCAACGAGTTAAGCGAGGCGCTCACCAAAGACGTGAACGAAACCAAGGTAAAGCAGCAGCTGCCAGAGGTTACTGCCAGCGGCAGCTCTAGGTTATATTGCTTTAAATATTTCCTTCTGATTGCTTTGCAGGCTCATATTTCATTTAAGCCAGCTCTAGATCAACAGAAGAAAAATTCTGAACTTGATGAAACGCTTCTCAATGGTGATTTTGTTGTGCGTTATGATGTAAAGAGAGAAGCCACTGCAGGGGATATACAGGTAAAAAAAGAAATGAAAATGCTTACAGATCACAGATAAGTTCGAATGTGAAGTGCAATAAGCAAAACAGCAACATTTGCTTTGAAATACCAAGAATGACAGGAAAACTCTTCCCATTAATCCAAGGTCAGCAAGAACTGAGGGTGATACTCGATAAATCCCCAGAGACATCAGCTAACTGCAAACACAGATCACTCAGGAAAAAAAGATCAATCTTTCATATTTTATTCAAATACAAAATCTATATTGGTATTTCATAGATGTCTCTTTACACTCTTTTTTATTATTTTGGCTCCTCCAAAGTGTATTTGTGGCTTCTTGTAAATGAAGTTTAGAGGAATGTGATTTGAATAACTAAAAATGATGCTTGGTCTCTGTGATAACTGAGGCATAACTAGATACAGCAGGAACTTAACAAATATTTATGAACCAATGCATATTCTAGGGAATAAAACAGAGTATTTTCCATGTCATTTTACTGATGAAGTATACACTGGTGTGCTAAAAGGTGGCAGCCACAGTCATTCAGCAAAGATGTAGTCATAGGTAATGATAAAGAGGTAATATGATACACAGTGATAATATGCATATATCATACATATGGCACTGAGGTGTCTAATCCATATGTATGTATGCATGCTGCTCTCTGGTAATTTTCCCTCTACAGACAGTCTTGCTTCCAGCTAGGAAATGCATTTTACTTTCTTTAATTTAAGCTCTTTGATTTGGGCTTATCGAGAAGAGCAGAATGCTGAACATGCTCTCCACTTCTTGCTATGCCAGAATGTTAAGATTTAACCTTTATTTCTTTAGATGTACTTTTATGGATGATTTCATATTCTCTGTTTCAGATTGTCAATGGATATTTTGTCCATTACTTTGCACCCCAAGAAATGCAGGTGTTTCCCAAAAATGTCATCTTTGTTATAGACCGAAGTGGCTCCATGAGAGGCAGAAAAATTGAACAGGTAACTTCCCTCAAAGCATGACCTCTGTTAGCAGCAGTCACACACACCCCAGCCTTCTGAGGAAGCAACTAATTTGAGACCCACTCTGGTTTTGTACACAGCAAAATGTTCAGACTTACAGAAATGCTTGAAAATACATATGTGCACAGATTAAATTATTAAAGAGTAACTCTTGTCTGACACAACTATTTTCATGGGTACTAAGCATTGAGGCAGATAGAGCTTTCTGCATCTTTGCAGAACTTTTTTGTGTTTATATTTTTCTTTAATGAAGCTTAGAGTTAATTTATCTGTTATCTGTTTTATGCTTGTTGATGACTGTTTATGTAGCTCTGCTTGAGAGCAGACAAGCCCCCTACAGCCCTCATAGGCTGGATTTTGTGTCTGAAGTTAAGTGAATTGTCTATTTCTAATGGTCTCAACCTGAAACTTAGCATTAGGGTTTAACAAAGACATTGGGCTGCATCTGGAACAGAGCTGTAGGGACCCCCCTCACTACACTGCAATTTCAATCCCAGTCCTGGCAAAGAAATGGAAACGATCCAAATCATGGTTTTCTCCTTGGAACAGACAAGGGATGCCCTGTTGAAGATTTTGCAGGACCTCCGCCCAGAAGATCATTTCAGCTTTATCACCTTCAACAACAAAGTGTCAGAGTGGAAGAGCTCTTTGCTGCCAGCCACTGAGGAGAACGTGGCCAGTGCTGCAGCTTTCGTGCAGACTCTGGCTGCCAGGGGAGGTACACATGCTTGTAGCCACAAATATGCACCCAGTGGAATTAACTGCCTAGAAAATAATTATTTTATTAGTTATATAGTGCTCCAGAGCTACCACCAGTGCTTACAAAGCAAGTAAGTTTTTAAGACTTTTAAGTGGTGAGTGGGAAAGAAAGCCTGTAAGTGGACAGACTGTGACTATATTGTGAGATAGATATAGTTATATAAGAGATGCTTACAGCACATCTATGAACCACACAAGCCACAAAGTTTTGTTTCCTATTTTATCACGGAGACAATTAGAAGATTCCTTGGTAGCACGTTATTTTTACAGAAAATTAGCAATTCATTTGACAGCAATTTGCTGACATTTTTTCTTTTTATATCAAGTGTCCCGTTGTAAAAACAAACAAAAAAAAAACCACATTCAAAGTTAAACTCCTTTGTAAGCCGTGCCACAGAAATAAAACAGGCAAAACAGACAAGTGGCATTTCAGTCGGTGCATCAGTCAGTGTGCTTGGTGTTATTGTTTAGTTTTAAGCACATCTCTGTCTCCCTTTCATGTTACTCTGTCAGTATTAACAGAAGTTTCCTATCCCAGGAGCTAACACCAATAAACCCACCATGCTCAGCTCTTTTCTCTAACTTCTTATAGAAGGCAGGGAAACTTTTCTTAAATATAAGTTAGCAGTTGACAGTGTGTTTATTTAAGCACTTTTTTAATGGCTCTAGACATGTTTGTATTTCCCATGACATATGTGTGGAAAATGCTCCCAAAAGAACACTCTGGCACTGCCCTGCAATATAACACCCGGGAATTAAGTCCAGTAGCTAAGCCCCTAAATCCTCCTCTCTTGGAAGGATTGCTTCCTGCAGGAGTCTTTGTGCAGATGAGGGGCAGCAGTGCCTGCAGACGATTGTCCCGCCCAGGTGAGCCGAGCCTGCTCTCTCCTCGCAGGCACAGACATCGATGGTGCCCTGCTCGCTGCCGTGGGCGTGCTGGGGAAAGCCGAGGGGCTGCTCGAGCACACCATCTCCATGATTATTTTGCTGACAGACGGCGAGCCCACGTCTGGTGAGTGAATGAATGAAAGCCTCCCCTGGGGTTTTTCATCTTTCTGTCTTTTACACTTGAATTCCAATCTCGAGAGACCTCGCCTGTGTTTTAGAAGAGCTTTGGAATGTGCAGGCTGAGCTGCTGCTGGGTCTGGAGAGGGGGATGATGAGAGGGCTGTAGGCAGTGATGGCAGAGCCTGCCTGCCTCTGACTGCACATCCTTTAGCTGGGAATTGTTTTGTTGAATACCGTTGGCTTCCCAGTTTATAAACTCAAGGGAATTGGAGACACTCAAGGCACAGCTGAAACAGAGAAGTAAAATACCTGGAGACAAAACACGGACATTCTGCAGACACTGTGTCTGATTTGAGAGAGAGGCTTCTTCACCCTTTGTACCTCAATCTTGAAATATTTCAAGGTGCTTCTTGTTCTGTATTCTTTGCCACGTCTTCATTAGTGATCATCTGTGACAGCACAAACTAAAGGATTGAGATTGAAATATCAGGTGAAATAAGCAACTCCCAGTGCAATGGCACAATCTCCCTTGTCTTGAACAGGGGTTTGTCTTAGCTTTGTTTGGCACCAGCATCATTCCAAGACCAGTAATATTAATTGATCTGTAAGACCTTAATAAGATCAATCTGCCTTTTAGATTGTGTGAGCCATTTTGCTTTGGGGTTTGTTGATTTTGTTTGGGTTTTTTAATAAAATTCAGCTCACAGTGCTGCCTCCCCAGCACAGTCACAGTGAGTGTCTCTCACATCCAGCAGTTGGAAATCAGGCCAGGGTGGAGTGTCAGGCATTATTGCATACATTGCCTTCCTCAGCAAAGCAGCTGAAAGGGAAAAAAATCTCAGCTGCTCCCACAATATTGCTACAGGCAGTGACAGCTTCTGCTGGAAATGCTGATGGAGAAGCTCTCCATACATGGCCATCAGCAGCTCTTCAAATGGGGTAAGATGATGGTGTGAAAATCTTTTCCCTCTGTCACACAAAGGAGCTGGGAGAGAAGCATGGCTGAGTTCATTGGCAGTTTGTTGGAATTGCACCATTAACCAATCCATTCTTCTCTGAATTGACACACATAATTTTTATGGATGGTACTTGTCTTTTGAATGCTTCATGAAGTGTATCCATCCCTCGTGTTGTTAACTTGTAGTGTGTGCCCCTTCTGCTCTAAAAACCTCCTCTGGCCCTGTAATCCTATAAAATATTTTGCACTTAGCCATGACAACATCAGTAGAGCCTAGTAAAAGTCATTAGAGGAGAATCACTTTCTGGCATTCCATATGCACAGTTGTGCTTTCATTTCCAATTTAATTACCAGCATTCTATCCTCTATCTTTTTAGTATTTTATTCTGAATGATTTTTTTAAACTTCGGGCAGAATTTTCCATTAATTTGCTGCAGTCTTTTTGCACTTGAAAAGCCCCAAACCCACAACGGTGTTTTTGTTTCATTTACAGGTGAGAGAAATGTGGAAGTAATTCAAGAAAACGTTCAGAAAGCAATCAATGGGAAATATGCTCTTTTCTGCCTTGGCTTTGGGTTTGATGTCAGTTACAAATTCTTGGAGAAAATGGCCCTGAGCAATGGGGGAATAGCACGGCGTATCTATGAAAATGCTGATGCAGCCCTGCAGCTCCAGGTCAGCAGTAAGGAATGTGCCAGGAAAATCATCTCTCAGCTACAGCTTATGTCTAATCCTAGCAGAAAAATCACAGATTTTCCTAAATGAAATGTTGGGGTTGAGTTTAGCTGTTACTTTAGTGGAGGGAGGAAGGCAGTTTTGGGGTATTTGAGGGTTTGTGCCTTCCACGTATCCACAACTCAAAGTCTTCAAATCAGCCCCATTCAGCCAAAGTGGGAAAATGACACATTTCTGTACTGTAAAAAGAGAAATTGTCCAGGGGAAGTGGACAATTTCTGAGTTTGCTGTAGTCTTGTACTATTAAAGAAAAGCTTTTTAAAGGGGCTTTAGACATTCAACATATTGCTTTGCACAATTTTGCTGTCATTTGTGTGTGTTCTCTGTCTCACTGCTTTTCTTCAGGGCTTTTATCAAGAAGTGGCTACCCCAATATTAATGCAAATTGAAATGCAGTATCCAGAAAATTCCATTGAAGGATTAACCAAGAACAATTTCAAGCTGTTTTTTGAGGGATCTGAAATTATAGTGTCTGGAAAAATTAGTGATGAGCTGGATCTTTTGCCAGTGGAAATTAAAGCTCAGTCAGTAAGTGTTTAGTTTACTAATTGTGAAAAATATCTCTCCATTCTGTCTTTGTGGCACAATAGGAGGCTTCAAGAAGTGTTTTGTGTTTAGTATGTATTCATTGCATTTAGGAATTCAGCTGTTTTCCTATTGTTTGAACTCTTAGATAATTCACTGAAATTTCCCTCTCTTGAATTTGCTACAAAAGAAAAACCTTGAAGAATATCCAAAAATAAGCAAACGATCATTTTAATTAAATTTTGTTGATTCTTTAACAAAATCTAAATATTTTTGCCTTTTAAGCGCTTTCAGGTTTCTATAGTTACAATGAAGCAGGAAACCTCAACTATTCATTTCAAAAATGCTGAAATATAATTTAATTACCTCTTTTTGTTCATCATTGTTTCAAGTCCAGAAATACATATCTAAAGTACATACTTTTTAGATACTTTGGATTTTCATTTTCCAATGGGAAAGAACAAAATTGAAAGACAACTGGTACAGAAAGATGTTATTTTAAGCCTAATAATGTGACTGTAAATGAAGTCTGGAGCTGTTCTTTTGATGGTCAGTTTTCTCCCACTTCAGCACACGAGTAACTTGACTCTTAAGGAAGAAGCAAATGTCAAAGAGAAGGAGCAAGTGTTCCAAAATCAAAGATACATCTTTGGGAATTTCATAGAGAGACTGTGGGCTTACCTGAGCATTCAGCAGCTTCTGGAAAAAGCGTGAGTGATTTTAATGCTTCACATAACAAACTTCTGACTTCTCAAAACACAAATTCCTTATTCACAAATGATATGATCAGAAAATACAAAGAAACAGAACTATTTCTCCAGACAGTATGCAAACCATAAGATACTGGGAGAATACTACATTACTGTAGGATGAACATGAAGTGCTGTTCAGTTTTTGGTAGCACTACAATTTCTTATATATATGAACACATAATGTAACACATTCTTTATGACATTACTATGAAATAGATTTCAATTGTATGGATGTGTTGAGCTGTTCTTGCACACCCATAAATATTGTGTGTAGATAAGGAAATGGCAATAGCTAGGGAGCAGAACAATATGCACGTCCATAAGATCCTTCACAAATCTATTATGTATTTAAACCATACCTAGGCTCCAGTGTTGCAAAGAATTTAGCATTTCCATAATTTCTGAGTTATCCCCATAAGACTACTGACCCCTCAATAATAAATATCTGTGGAGACACAACCAATATGTAAAGGAATCTGGAGATGATTTGTTCATAGTCTCTACACATTTTTGCTTCATCATTAACACAGACTTCAGTATTTCAGCCCAAGATGAGGACCAGAAGGCCCTGGAGGCCCAAGCCTTGGATCTGTCCCTGCAGTACAGCTTTGTCACACCCCTCACTTCCATGGTGGTCACCAAACCCCAGCAGAAGGAGGAGCTGGCAAACAAACCCACCGAGGCTGGTAAAAACACTGAAACACTCTGCTCTTCTTGACTCGTTGTTGTTGACTTCCACTTCAGTTCATTTGATAGAGATAGAATGAGGCAAATTGGAGGCAGGAGTTCAGGGATTGGCTCGCAGGATTTTTTTGAAAGGTGAAGTGATGAAACAGGAACTACAATTGAAATGGAGAATAGTTTGTTTAAATATTAACTAAAGGTAGTCTAATAGCTGTTACTATTATATTCCTGACAATGCAAAAGGGTTCCACACTTTTCTCTGTAGCATTTAAGTGGGAAAATCAATGCAGGGGGGAAAGCATGGCCTCAGTCAGAGTTTTGCAAGTGCTCTTTATAATCATCCTTTAACATAAAAAACCTCATCACCTGAAGCCCTTGTCCCAGTTTTCTGGTTCACATGGGTAAAGTAATTCAGTGCTGACTATGACACTCATGTGCCCCTCTTATTCTTGACAGATAATGAGGAGTCTGAGAGTCTTCAAGTACGAGGTAAATGTTTTCTTCTTTTCCAGTTGCATATTTTCATGGTTTCTAATAAAAATTTTTAAACAACTAAACCAAAACAAGCAAAAGAGTTCATGGTGGTTGTTCTATAGAGGGAAGTATCTGACATTTGAAAAAAATGTGTGAAGTAAATTATAAGCAATACCTGCCACAGTCTGTGTAGGTTTTGAGTCAATAACAGGGTCAAAGGGAGAAAATCTTCCATTAAGAAAGCCTCAAAGGTCAAAATTATCTGTGCTCTTGAGGAAAAGTAGTTCTTCAAGTCAATGGTGTTAATGATGCTTTCTGCTTCTTCTTATCATGTGTGAAGCATCTTTCAAAAGATCCTGCTCAAGAATGCCTTCTGAGGATGACTTGGGTATTTTTTTCTTCTCTGAAAACTTCATTTATTCGAATAATTATTTTATAGGTGAAGAACTTTGGTTTTGCTCTAGTTCTTTCACAGAAATGTATCGAGACAATGACAATGCTGCCCAGTTCTTGGAGGCTGCCTCTTTCCAAGTGATGCTGGGGAGGTCAGGAGCAGAACCACTCCTGTGAGGTATGCAGTGCAATCAGGAGTAAAACACAGAACACTCTCTTTTTTTTCTCCAGGTTCTCGTAGAGTGGACAGTGGGTCATCTCCTGGTAAGTACTCCTCCTCTGTTTCTATTCTATAGAATAATTCTATGAAGTTCATTTCATATATAGGGTCATATCAACCTTAGTCTAATAAATGTATTGGGATTGGAGATGCCCACTTGATATACAATTTAGTTTTTATTATGTGTATTTCAGTCCATAGATATTTTATAATGAACTATAAACTTTTGAAAACAATCTTGGTCCCTTTTCAGAAATAAAAAAACCATACCTCCTGAAAAGAAATGTGAAAGATCTGGAAAAGTATGTATTAGTAAGCTGGAAGAAATGGATATAAAAACAAAATAATTCACCAGTCCTGGGGTATCCAGAAAAGTCAGTGGACAACAAACAGGACAGATTCCCTGTTTCAAAGGGAGGGAAGGGACGTGCAAGGCATAAACACAAAGCAAAAAAACATTGGGAAAACCCTTTTCTTTCAGGTCGAAGGCGCTCTGACCTCCAAGCTGGCAGCAGCAGGATGATGTTTTCCAGCTACAGAGGTAACTGCTCACAGGGGGTTGGGAGGGGCTGGGCTGGGTGTGCTGCATTCAGCACTGCCCAGGGACCCTTGAAAACACAGCTCTAAAGCCTCCCACAGCTCCAGATGAGCACGGGCTCATGGCATGGTCCATCCTGACAGAAACAGGCACTGCATGTTGTGCTTTGCTCCCCATTGGGACCTCTCATCTTGGGCAAAGCTCTCTGTAGTCATCAGTGAAGAGCTCTGCTGAAAAGGCTTCTGTCCAGCATTGTTCCAGTTCATCAGCTGACTTAGAGAAAATTGTTAATTAAACTCTTCTTACAAATTTGAATTATTTCAGTTCCCAGGTTAAGAGGTGCCATAGAAACACAACCTGTTGGTAAGTGACACACATCCCAGTCCCATTTCAATTATTAATGGAACTGTAATGTACACTTCTTCATGCAACAATGCTTTTTCTGGCTGCATCAACTCTGAAAATCTTTTACCTCTTCTTGCAAACCTTGGCTAGTTCTTTCCATGTAAATAGAAAATATCCCTGTGTTCCATGAGAAGACCTCTTTGGCTCGAGGATATAAGAAAAGCAACACAACAAATCTTCAGCCTAAGCCTTTGTAGGGGCTCATTGTCCTTATTAAATTTTATATTTGAAATCCGTTGGTTTCATTCATTCAAGATGCTGTGCTTGGGTGTGCTTTTCAACAGTTATTACTTTGTTTTTTAATCATTCTATCCTATAAAAGCTGTAACTGCTGTTTTAGGTATAAGTCTATAAATTATTTTTGCTGGGGCATAGGCTCGATTTTTTTGGTTGCTGATATTTTTCTTCCATCTTTTCAGCCTATGAATATCCACAACTTCTCTTGCAATTACCCAGACAAAATGAAAGAATCTGCTTAAATATTGATAAAAGATCACAAACCTCTGTCCACCTGGTGTCAGATCCAGGGCAAGGTGAGTGAGCAATGTTAACCCAACACCAAGACATGGAGAGTCACTGGGTCTGTGAGTGCAGCTGGTGTTTTTGGGAAAAACCTCCCCTCATGGAGAATCTTGCACTGACCAGAAAGGCTGTGGTAAATTCTGCCTTTCTGTTAGGTAATATTAATAGAGGTGCAACAGCTGAGGGCACAAGTCTGGCTGAGGGTTTCCTTCTCCTCCTGGTGTCACATCCTCCTCAGTCCTTGGGGCTTTCTCCTACCCAGCCATTGGGGCTGCAGAGACCTTAAACCTCATGGTCCCTGTGAGCCAACAGAAAGGTGCATGCTCTTGATGCACAGCAGATTTTTGTGGTCCTGTCCTTGAGAAGCCATGGCCTGGGCACCAGGCACCTGCTCTGATTATGGAACAGAGACATCTCTGAGCAGGAGGTGGAAGCATGGGGTTAAACAGGATCTAAACAGTCTTGGGGCATGTAGAGCTGAAATCCAGAAATATCCCACAAAACTAGATTTGAGACCCTGGAGACATTTCAGTAACAAAACTGGAGCAGATTTATTAAGATCACTTGTACCTTAAGAGAAGAATCACCTGACAAATTTGTGTTAAAGGACTCACTGTGACGGGGCAGCTTGGAGATGGAATAAATCACTTTGTGCAGTTTGATATTAACTATGAGAATCCCCCTGTGCAAATCCATGTCTACACTCATGCAATCCTTGTAAGCCACAACAATAAGAACGATTGGCTGTCATGGACAAAGTCAGCCTCCACCACCATCCAGGGGTAAGAAATATCTCCCTGTCCTTTCCTAAACTTGAAAATGTGTCAGATATTTGTTCATTCAGGCCTCTCCCATTTACCTGAAGTAAGTGCTTCCAAATGTCCTTCTCCAGCAAGTATATCAGTGTGAGTAGCAGCAGGGTATCTTCATAATCCTCCATTTCAAATTTGGAGAAGAAAATAAGTTTGATTTTAATTCTCCATGCCCGTGTAAAGAGAGCCAGAACAACTGCACCATCATCCTGCTGTCCATGTATTTATGTTCCAAAGGAAAGGAGCCATGCAGAGCAGCCTGGTGCCACCAGCAGCCACTTTGTGCTCCTCCAGGGCAGAGCGAGTGCTGCCAAGTGATGGCTTTGACATTTACTGTCCCTTTTATACAGCACTCGGCTCCACACAGACTGGGGTTTTCTTTCTCCTTAGTTTTAGCAATAACTCCCATCTGGGAAACTGACATTTTTTATGGGCAGGCATAAAGTTTTGGAATAGCTGTCTGTAGCTAAATGTCCACTGTAGGAGAAGGGATACTTTATAAGCAGACTTTATTTGTTAGAGTAATTAGAGCAGGATCCTTCAGTGCCACCAGGAAGGGCTGAGTGGAGCTGGTTCCTCCAGCCTTTTTATATTGCTGGAATGAGTCTCCACAAGGATCCCCTGCCGGCCTGGAGCAGACAGAACACACATCACTGCTCCCCCACACGCAGTTCTAGACAATAACAAGTCCTACAACAACTGCTTTCAATTATTCTTGTAACCCAAACAGAGCCAGGAACTCGCTGGATTTATTTCCCAATATAATTTGCTAAGCAGAATGATCCTCCTGCTTCAATCCAGTCCAGAGCTCTTGCATCAGCACTATCCTGGTGGCTTTGTTAATCCTGCCTGCAGGGAGCAAAATGACAGTGACATTTGTGTTCTGCAAAACCACCTGGGATCACAATAACATTAATAGGTCAGAAGAAAGGCAAGGTCTGAAACACTTATGAAAGATCTAAGAAAAAATAATGGACTTGTTCATTAAAAAGATTGAATTATTTTTTTAGTCTACCTTTTTTCTCATTAAAACATTCAAGCATTTCTTGTCATTATGGATAATAAGGTGTATTCATCAGCAAAAAAATTGTCCCCTGGTATATTTGCAAGACCTGTTGTGCAGTACAGAGAGAAAAGATATTGTAGTCAATATTTTCTAGCTTAAAAATAACTACATAAAAGATCAGGAAAAATGCAATTGCAAAGAGATAAAGGGCAAAAATGAAATTATTTTGATCAATTAATGTCAGTTAGCTAAATACATATTCTTTATTCACATTCTTCTTGGAAATAATTTCATAATTTACTTCCTAGGCTAAGAGTGTCAGTTGAAAAGGAAGGGAGTCTTACAGCATCACTGCCTGGTACAGTCACAGTAAAAATTTCCTTGGTCAAGTTTCTAGATGATTTCCTTGGGCTCTACTTCTTGAACACTGACCACTTTTCAGACCAGGTCACTGGAGTTCTTGGTGAGTATTGTATGGATGGGTGCAGCAAAGAATGCTCTTGGAACTCAGCTCCTGAAATGAGAGTGCAGCTGGGGGTTTGTTTCAGGGAGTTCTTGAGAAACTTTGCATTTAATTTATTCTTTTTGGACATTTAGCTTTCACTGCCCAGCAATCCCAAAAAAGGGAGGTCTCAGCCTGGAAACATAAAACATGTAACACAATGCTTTTCCACTCACCAGTGGCACAACCCTAAGTAGCCCATTATGGGTTTAGAAGATGTTCAAATAAGACAGAAACAAGAGTTGGGCTTAACCTCAACAGTGCTGTGGAATAACATGATTGATGCAGAAAATTCATTTGATGTCAAATAACAGACTGTAAATAACGGACATAAAATTGTGAACAATCATGGTTAGGAAATGAAAACCAGCTGCTCCTGAACATCTTGGCTCCAAAAATCCTGGTGAGACCTAAGTTGAAGTTGTTTTGGAAACATTGCAATTGGAGAGGCTCCATATTCCAAAAAACACAAGGAAGAAATAATTGTGAAAAACCATCAGAGCAGGGCTGAACCTTCCTGTGGAGAATGTTAGGGATAATAGGAGATCACAGATGAAACAGAGGAATTTTCTGAACTTACTAAATGGAACATCCAAACATGATCTTTGGTTTGTTTTCTGAGCTGAAGAGCTGCTCTCCTGGTGTTAGAGCTGCCATTTGGCTTAAACAAACAGCAACACTCAGCTGGTTTGTATTTTTTAATAATTTCTGTGTCTGTTCTTAGGTCAATTTTATTCAAAAGCACAATTTGAGAGTAACTCCAACAATGATCAGAGAGCTGTGGAAAGACTCCTGAGAGTGTCTGGATCTGAGCACAAGGTTTCCAGGTACCAGATATTGGGGAGGGGAAGGGATTGGATGGATGACTGTGCTTTGAGATGTATTTTATCAGCAAATACCAGAGATCAAAAGAAATGAAACTGAGGAGTGTTTGTAAGAACTCTCCTAAAAGAAATGAAACTGAGGAGTGTTTGTAAGAACTCTCCTAAAAGAAATGAAACTGAGGAGTGTTTGTAAGAACATTCCTCTTTGGTGTAAAAAACTTGTGTTCTAGTTTTTCCCCAACAGCCTGCATTTGTTGTTTAAGTGATGCTACAAGGCTCAAGGTTTCTATTTCATTGAGGGAAATAATTACACCCTGGGGGTACAGCTTGCATTGTTTTCCTGGGCAGGGAGGGCGTTTCCTCAGCTGGATTTACCATGAGAAAAATGTTCTATCCTTCCACTGCTTTTAGCACACATCTGTAATGGGGAATAAATGCTGTGAGTGTGCAGGTGCTGTGACTCCTGGTGCCATCTGCATATCAGGGCAATTCTGGCCCTGCCCTTTGATTGTGTTATCACAATTTCTCTTGTTTTGATTTCATTTCAGGTTGTACAAGAAAGATTACAGGCTGGAGTCAGCCAGTGAACCTGTTTCCTGCTGGTCAATAGATCTAACTCCCTAGAAAAAAAATATTCTGTGAAGAAAATTATGCAAATGAAGCTCTTCCAAGTATTTTTGATACTTTCATCAAGAAAACCACACAGTTAAAGCCTTACTGTCGCTCTATATATGTGTCACAAATATTTTACCTTGAAATAGTTATACTCTCAAGATATGACGGTGCTTGCTTGTTTGATATTTGAAAATTATTTCTAATCTGAAATGTGGTTTTGTTGTTGAAAATTTATGTGAATGAACGAAATAAAATTGATACTATCAGCTCACAGTTTGATATGGACACGTGGACTTAGGTTTCTAAATAAAAATCAGTAGTGGCATCATCCAAGCCAACAAATGTGTCATGCAAACAGTAATAGATTTCTAAAACTTTACCCACTTGTAGATGGTAATGTTCCTGAACCACACGTTTGTGAAAACACCATGAAGTTTGAGGCATGTTTACCGTGTCTCTCATTTTCTATTTTATCGCTGTATCAGAGCTCTCTTGGAGGTTCTTCTGTCAGACCATTCAAAGCTCATGAAATCAGCAGTGAATGAGGCTGTGTGGGATGCAAACCCACACCAGCTGTGCTCCAGTTCATTGTTGCAAAAGGCTCTGAGGCTCCCTTTTGAAAACATCTGCAGAACAGCCATTGACTGGTTGCAAAACTTCTGGTTGCAAAACACAGCATTCCAACCCCAAAAGTTAGCAGCTCTTTTGGCACAATTTCATACATATTGCAAACATTGAAAGGTGTTTTACAAATAGTGAACATCTCAAACCCAACCTGCTGTGCACGGAGGTGACACTGCAGAGTAAACACACACACAGAAGCCTCTGCCCATGAAATCCAAGCTGTAGTCTCAGTCTCCTGCTTTTTGTAAGTTTTAATTCCAAAACTATTTTGTTTTAGAATTTCAGTTCCTTTTTATCTTTGAAGCCATAAATATGCCAGCATTGTAGGCAGTTTAACAGAAGTTGCTTTCTATCCTGCCAATAATATAAACTGGAAAAACCTTTTTATTTTAAAGCAATGTACTAAAAGAGAAACAATTTCTTGCCAAAGTCAATAAGCTAAAACAAACTGTGTAATTAGAAGCCTATTTTGTAAAAGAACTGTGCAGACACGATGCCAAGATATGTTTGTGTGAATTGCTTGTACTTTCAAGGTGCTGATTTTGCTGCACAAATTACATGACAAACAATGTGGAATTTGGAAACTGGAAGCAACATATTGCTCACTTCACTGCATCAAAAACAGGCTTCCCAATCTGATTGTTTCCATTATAGATTAACTTGGGATTTGAATCACAAGCTGTTGATCCAGGGTTATATCAGACTTGCTGCAAATTAAATATTCCCTGCTTTGAGCTGTGGGGTGTCTGTGTGTCAGCTCCTGCAGCACTGAGCAGGCAGCAGTGGCTCATGGCTGGGGCAGCTTTCACCTGGGACCCTCTGCTTTAAGTCAGGCTCAAGCAGGTGCAGGCAATGCCTGAGAGCTGCACTCAAACTGCAGTGCCTGAGCTGTCTCAGGCAGCTGCTGCCCTGTTAATGCAGCTCTCCCTTGCTGCAAAGAAGCTCTGGGCCAGGGAATTTATTAAGGTATGATGGAAACTCCTCACATTTTTCAAAGATTTTATCTGACTTTGAATAGACAAGTAGTGCTGGCAGAGATTTCTGTGCTTTTTGCAGCAGCCTGAAGTTGTTGGTGTGCCTGGTTACTGCAGCTCCCAAATCCATCTAGTGCTGCTTCCCCTCTGCACGTGTGCTTTCCATTCTGTAAGTGGGTGCCATGCCACTCTTCACTTGAATTGTGTCTTAATTTGTTGTTTAATCTCCTCCTGTGCTTTCCAAGCCCCCGAGTGAGTTCTGGTGGGTTTCTTGTTTCCTATGTTCCCTTCCCTTGCTCAGAAGATGAAGGGCAGATAGAGTAATGAATATTTGGCATTTTGTAATTTCTAATTCCAATACAAAATAGTGCCAGTGTATATGTAACAGATCTATACATATCTCACAGGATATGGCCCCACAGTTCTCTTTTAACCAGCACTGTAGCCATCAGCAGGAGGAGTAAATGTTTTACCTAACTGTGAGCATCTGTCTGCTGCTTCTCTCTGCCTATTACCTACATGTGCTGTTACCTCCTGCCTTGCAGGAATCTCCGAGGGCTTATTGAACAGGAGACAATGTAAAAGCACACCAGAGTCCCTGAGAGCAACTCGTGGCTCCCAGTTCAGTCACAGACAAGAACTCCAGAGATTTGCCTCGTCCCTATAAACCAAACAGGAAAGTTCTGGCTGGCTCAGGATTGCCCTGTGCCCAAACTCTGCCAGCCAAGTAGGTCAAGGTCTGCTGTCCACTGCTCTGCTCTATTGTGTGAATGGAGCAAGTGAGGATGGGAACAGCCCCCATGGGCAGTGCCACAGCTCCTGTCTCAGGATCCAAAATGGATCATTCCTTTCTTTCATTCTATTCCATCTAATTAATTCTCCTACAATAAAAATTAAGAACCATTTAAACATACTAGTTTCAATGTTCTGGTCTTCTCTCCCTCCTTCCTGTTGCTCACCCCGCCTTCCTCGTTTTTCAGTCACTTATTACCTTCTGTAGAAATGACTGGTTTTTTTCAACATTTCTGTGTGGATTTAGCAGGCAAAGATCTGCAGCCACTGTGACAGCCTCTCCCCTCAGCTATTTTTTTTTCTTCTACAAAACTGCTTTCAGTAAAGGATTTTGCTCCTCAAAAAAGGCCTGTATCTCCCATAAATTTAACAGTAAGTATAGTTTTCCTCATTTTTTCCTCTTTCATTTTTCTGTTGCATTTTTGTTCACCTCTACCTGCAATTGAAAGAATTGAAGTTCTTTCACTTTAACCTATCACATCTTCTATCATCTGTTTCTCCCACTACACTCCTCTTTGTGTTCTGCATTCTAGTTTTCCATGTAATGACTTGACTTGTCCTACTGCTGTTGGGGAATTTTCTGCTTTGCCATGTGAAACCATAACTGCCTTTATGTGGCTGATTTGATTAAAAGAAATCTTGAAGTAAATAACTTATTTATTTTATTAGAACATATTTTTGGTTGGTTGGTTTTTTTGTTTTAGAAGTAAGAGCTTGCAATTTCTTGCAGTAAAAAATGAATATATAAATAAATGGGGCACTTGTCCTGAATGTGTTCATAAATTATTTTAAGGGAACAGAAGGAAGGGTCTTCCTCAAGAAAGATACAATCCCAAAGAGCTGTCATTACTCAAATGTGAATGCTGCTTGCAGTCTTGGTGTTTCATTCATTTACAAAGATTCAGACATTCAAAAGTTAGGTTCAAATTAAAATGCTAAAATCCAGAAGTCCTGGATGCCAACAGTCACCCCTGGTGCTGGCAGCAGCTCTCAGCACTGCACAGTCAAGAGGTCAGGTGGTTCCATGTACCAAGGGATTATCCCAAAATCTGGGCTGGGCTGTCAGATGTCCTCTTGTGCTCAATTTCAAAATGCATCTGGCACGCTGGGCTTTGTGAAACTGGCATGAGAACATTGAGCTGTCAGAATAACAGAACCAGGCACTGAGTACTGATACTTTTATTTAATCACTCTTGTCACTCATTTATGGATTAAAAATTGGGGAGAGGGTTTCTGTTATGTTTTAAAAGTAACACTTTAAGTCAGAATTTTATAACTAATAAGGAGAACATTTCAGAGGATGAGGGATTACTTCAGATTGGATGAAACACACAGTAAAACTCTGAGAATCCATCATACCTTGTCCTTGCTAAACATGGTATGCTTATATGCTTTGAATAGTTCTTGTATGTTGAAAATACTGTTCTTTCAGACAAATACCATCTGCCTGTGCATTTGGAGGAAGTTGTATTTGCTTAAAAGAGACTGGAAACAATATAATCCGTGTGAACACCATCTATCAGCCCAGCTCCATTGTCATGGACAAACCAGCAAGGAATATCAACCCCGTGTTTAGGATCTCTTCTGTAATCCTTCTGCCAGCCCCTGAAAAGAAAAACAGCCATGGGACTTCTGAGGTAGGAACTGCACCTGGACAAGAAATCTTGCCTAAGTCTTTGCTAAAGACTTCATTATTTTGTACCTTGTTACTGTCAGTTCATTGTTTTTAACGATCATTGTGGCATCTGGTTTCTGGGGATCAGACCCAGGATGAACTTCAAGTATGGTGAAGTCAATGGGCCGGAAAAACTGTCCTAAAAAGAGAAGCCAAAATTGCCATTTCAGGCATTAAAACAGAAGCAAACCAAACAGAAATTCTGGAATTTCTACATTCCTGTGCTGCTTTCCACATCCCTTCAAGGTTTTGATTGGATAAGCAAACACCAAGTTTCAGGTAAGGCTGAACATATGCCTATGGTAAAACTGGTATTATTTTCTGTTGATAAGCCAGAATTGTATCCACATTATCTGGATGAAAGTTCCAGCTTCTGAGAACACAGAACAATTATAGCCTTTTCTAGATATCCTTCAAGATATCCTCACTTGGTGTCCTGTCTATTCTGTTGAATTTATTACATGCTTTACAAGTCTTCAGCTTTTAAAAAATCAAATAATGGATGTATTGATCTCTGAAATTTCTGGGTGTGATTTTTCTCAGCACAAGTACAATATTCTGTCTATAAATTATGTAGTTTCATAAGGAAAGACCAGCAGGGAAACACTAAACAAAGTCATACCTAATAATCCATGGGTCTGTTCAGACAGTTTATCACTTTTCAATGTGTACAGTCCTAGGAAATCTTGGTGGAGAGGATGTTTCTTCCATACTTGGTGCAAAACAACAACAAATGAGGCACCACTGCCCATTGAGAGCACCAGATTTTTTTTTCTGTTAATTATCAAAGTTAAACTGAGGAAAAAAGAAAAACATGACTTAAAACATTGTGTTTAGCAACAAAAAGAAATGTGAGAAAAGAAACAATTGTAGCTTTATAAACTGCTCCATGTTTTTTAAGAGAGAGGGTTTGCTGCCTGATTTGGTCAATGGAGTCTCTCTGTGTGCTCACAGACAGTCACAGAATCATATTAAATGACACCGGAAAAGGCAACCTGGCCTTTAAACTTTTCAGTAAGATGTTTTTAGCAAAACCTGTCCTTTAACAGTGTACTTAGTCACAGATAGGTTGGTGATATGTAGATACAGCACCTCATGCTCAGTGATATAAATTCTATTGATAAAACCATCACTTCTTTGCCTGGATGCTACATTTACACTTTTTTCTTTAGTTTTTCAGAGAAGTCAGCTCCCAAACTGCCTATTTTAGTGCTAGGATAGAGAAGATTTGCATCTGATTTATCACAATAAAAA